TGGTTTTTCTTCACCTTTAATTGATGGAGTACCAAAGCCGAATTTTTCTCAGACAGAAAATTTCGACCAATTAGAATCATGGTTTAATAAAATAGATGAACCGAAGTTTATTAATCTTTATATGTTAAAATCTTTAGTATTATCTGATCCACAATTTATTTTGGCAGCTTATGGATCTAATAATAAAGCAAAAGCAATTGAAATCTTAAAAAGGTAGTTATTCATTTATCATCAATGTTTGATCCAAGATATGTATGTTATAGGTTTTAGTACTGATGCTGATTCACGTTTTCTCAGAGCAATGAGGTTATGTTCTCGTTTTTTGCAACATTACCAAATTTTAATATATTTAAATATAAAGATATATTTCGTATAAAAATACCAAAACCATGGTCTTAGTTTTCATGGAAGAACAACAAATTCTTTTTTTATGCAAGATGGTATTCATATTGCTACAAAATCTAGAAATAAATTGCTTTCTGAAACAGCACATATGAAAATAGGATCTTATTCAATTCATATTCAGGATGTATTTGATTTAATTGAATTAGAAAGTAAAATAGAGCACAATTTAATTAAACATGACGTCGATCCCAAAGATCGTCAGAATTTTGCATCATACTTAAGAATATCTTCTAAAGATGTGTTAAATTTACTAGAGAAAAATGAAAAAGCAACAGGAACATATGTATACCTACCTTTATTACGGTCAGTAATTGCTGGATTTATTGAAAGATCAACGACAATCGAAGAACGATTATTTCACATACGGACTGTCATTTTTACGTGTAGATTTTGGTTTTCATGGGTACAATATTTAGAATTAGAAAATGATAATAATAAATTAGAAACTCTATTAGATTTGAAAAAAAAAATACTTTTATCACCAAGCCAACTTTTTGGTGCATTGAAATAAACGCTCATACATTATTTTTTATAATACTTTTAGTTATCAAAAACACACCAGCTGTTGATGCACTTAATACATTTGCTTTCAATTCACAGATATGTGAAAATACTTTTAGGATCGCTAGAACATTATCAGGTTCATTTTCTTCAAATACAAATTTTAGTACAAAATCATTTTTAAAGAGAAGCGAAAAAAATATCGATTATCAACTCAATTAAAAATCGTCGTGGACAAATAGGAGATTACCAGTTTTATTTTCCACAACATCATAAAAATCATAAAGAAACATATAATTATCCAATAGATTATATTAATGAATTGAATTTAACAAAGATTGATATTGAGATTATTATCAAAAATGCATTTGAAGAAGCTAAAAAGTATGTTTCAATGGTCAATATGCGTGTGGGTGTGGGTGCAGTGAAGAGCAGATACACCCACACCCCCACACCC